TATTGATACAATGAATTGTCAAAACTGTTGAAAAGTGAGATGCTATAAAGGGACGTGTGGGCAGGACATCATGTTTATCCTTTAGAGTTTCTGCAACGGGCAGAGACTCCTGAACAGGTGGATAAAGGTGGCAGGACTCGTCCAGCACACCTGCTTGTGAGACTGTGTGACAAGGTAGAGACACACAAGCCAGCGTAACTCAGCCGCACTGAGCAGAAATTGGAGGGCCTGTCACAGCACCTGACTGGCCAGACTGCATTAGCCTCTGCTAATCCCCCAGAGCCTCCTGCCAGGTCACTTCTGGTCTCAGAAGTGGAGCAGAACCTTCTTCGGCACTCCACGGGCAACTGGGAGAGGGGAATTCCAGAACGATGCTGACGCCGGAGGGGTTGTCTCCCTTTGGTGCTTGCTGCAGCCGCGGGCCATGGAAGAACACCTGTGAGTGTAGGTGTTTAACCACCCACCGTACAAGGATGTTTGAAAAAGAACCTGTTAAGAAGGGCGGTCTGTCCCCTGAATCGGACTGCGGAGCCATCTGGTGTTGCAGCTGACCTGAAAATGAATCCAGTAAATTTCAGACCTGAGTCACAGCTGGTGCAGGGAGATCTAAGAGACAGGTGGTTCCCTTAACAGCTGTACATCCAGAGAGGGGAGGCGAAAGAAAATCCCAACTTCGCTGAACCGTTATGGGTTTTCTGGGATCTGTAGTAGCTTCCTGACCTTTTGCCATGATAATGACCACATCAAGGCAAATAGTATTTCTCCCTTCCTTTTGTTGAAATAATCCCTGCAGGTCAGTGGGTCTAAGATTTTAAGTGAGTGTATCAATCAAGTGATGGATGGATGAAAAAGACTGGTTATTAGCTGGGAGGGTACTCTCAGAAATAAGAGTCTCATATTGGTGGTGTACAGACTAATGTCTCTCTGGGGGGAAGACCACAAATTACCGTATCTAAGGTGGCTACTTGAATTTGTACTTCTGTATTTATCCTGCAAATTTTAAGAGAACTTTAATCAAACACTGTTTTTATTAGGTGAATTAGTATGCATGCTGAAATGAAGTGTAAGTTATTTTTAGCTCAAGAAAAGTAAAGAATAATTTTGACTTTTTAAAAACTTGTTCTAAACAAAACACTTTGGCCATATGTCCATGTTGTTTTGAGAAGGATTTTAGGCAGCCCTGGTTTTTATTCGCGGATTAAGAGGTAATGAAACTAAAGCAACTAAGGTATAGAGGAAGTAAGCTCTTTCTGTCTAAGTCACTCAGGAAGCAAATGTATGAAACCGAAAGTAGAGTCTTGAGGTGATACTCCCAATCCTGTTGTCTTCCCCAAAACCCCCGTGTTTGTGCAAGTAGTTCAGTGCATGAGGGTACCCAGCTGAGGCTACGAGCAGAGGCAGATTCAGCCCAGCCCCTGCTCACCATGCCTGGGGTCATGGGGAGGAGCTGTGCCCACCTTTTCCAAAGGTGCTAAGTCTGTTTCCCAAGCACAGCACCGAGGGGCTGAGCTGTTGGTTTGGGGGTCGGGAAGCAGATCACCAGTATCAACTGGGATGTTCTCCTGTGTTTTATTACAACTACAACTAGACCTTATCTTGGCATAATCTCTAAAAACGTTTGTTTCAATGGGTAAAGGAGGCGAGAGCTATGTACAGTTTGAAGAGGGTCTGTCGAGGTAACCCTGATTGCACAAGCTGAGAGGACACTGGATGCAACTGGAAAGAGTTTGAGATTTGGGGTATCTTCCCATCTGCCCTTTTGGACATGAGACTCCTCTAATTCCTTTCCTCTCTGCCTCCCTGTCTCACACTGTTCACTTGCCCTTTCTCTGCACACACACTCGTACACACACACTCATACACTCATACATACACTCATACACACTCACACACACACACACACACACACGCACGCACCACCTTCTCTTCACTTCCAACTTTGTTCAAGAGGAAAGGGCTTTAGCCAAATTGACACGAAGATGTAAATAGCTAAGAACAATTAGATGTTTCCATCCCCATGGGGAGCATTTTAATCCTTAAATCGGAAACAAACTGTACCTTCCTAGCAGATTTCAGGCAATGAGAAGTAGTAGGGATTCTGTTCAGACGTTGAAGGCAGGAGCGCTTCCTTTATTCCCAAGACTGTTGCAGCTTGGTCTGAGCTCTTCCGGTTGGCCCCACACATGGGATTCACTCAGGAGCGTCATCCTTGCTCCTTGCTGCTTTTATCTTATCATTGTCCTTAGTTCGCCCTTTTCGGTGCCCCTGCCCGCCCTTCCACCATCCCTGTACACTGGTCTGCACCTCCTTCTCAGCTCAGCCTGGCCACCCTGGCTTTCTTCTTCACCTTCTGAATTGCTTTCTCTCCCGGCAGGCACATGCCTTATGACTTCCACTTCACCATTAAGTCTTCTTTCTTCTAAATAACCCCGTCCCAAAATCTGTCTGCACGAGGGTATCAGACTCTGCCCCTGTCCAGAAGCTCTGGTTATCATGGTTGAAGTTTCGAGCTTCCCCATTGCTCCGTTCTCCAGCAGCCAACACCGTAAGCCCAGGAGAGGGAGAGAAGAAGTTCCTGAGCTTCTGTGAGGAGCTTTCAGAAGGCAGAGGTTATGATGTCTCTCTCTGCTTTTCTTACTAGACCAAGCCCAGTGAAGCATAGTTGGTATTTCTGTCTTCCTCTTCTTCTTCTTAGAGTGATTGCAGTGGGTTGCTGGAAGCTGGGACTTGACTTCCCTGTTTAAACTTCTTCCTAGATCCGAAGCAATTCCTATAGCTGGTCTTGGGCTCACATCATGCCACTAAAGCCAGAGTCACTCATTAAATTGAACAGTTCAGTAAAAAAAAAAAAAAAAAAAAAACTACCATCAGGCCAAATGAACTCTGGTCACAGAAGTCAAAATAGCTGAAGTGAAAAACTCATCTAAAAAAAATGGTCAGTCTGGCACCTGGGTGGCTCAGTCAGTTAAGTGTCCGACTCTTGATTTCGGCTTAGGTCATGATCTCAGGGTCCTGAGATTGAGCCCCGTGTCAGACTCCACACTGAGCTTGGGCCCTGCCTAAGATTCTCTCTCTCCCTCTCTCCATCTGCCCCCCCCAACTCAGTCTCTCTCTCTCTCTCTCTCTCTCAAAAATAAATAAAATGGTCAGTCCGCTATCTATGATTCTTTCCAGAAACTTAATGATTTTCAATTTCTTCCATCATGTCATTGAACCCCTACATTTTAGGAGTTTCTAATCCTTGGATGACTGTAGTTTGAGTGCCAAGAAGCAAAGATTGTACTGTGCTTTGTCCGGAAGGTGAAGGTTTTGTATATTTTGTGTATTTAATCTTGGTAGACTAAACCAAAATCGAATATATGAGAGGTTTCCAAATTTCTTATCTAAATGAGGAGGAAGCACTGTAGATGTATTTAGAAATGCTGAATGAATGGAATTGAACTTTATTTTCCCCCTCTCTTTAAAGATTTTATTTATTTGTTTGTTTAGAAAGAGAATGAGTGAGCCCACGTGCATGAACGGGAGAGGGGCAAAGGGAGAGGGGGAGAATCTCCAGCAGACTCCAAGCTGAGTGCAGAGCCCGACACAGGGCTCAATACCATGACCCCGAGATCATGACCTGAGTCAAAATCAAGAGTCAGACGTTCAACTGACTGAGCCACCCAGGCGCCCCTCTCGACTCTTTTGAGTGAGTTTTTGTTTTGAGAAAACAGAATGCCTGAGCCAACCTTTGATGGCTTGCAATGCCAACTCCCTGTTGTCAACCCTGCCATTTTTTTTTTTAATGTCCTTGGTCTTATTTACTTTATTCCCCTAAATAGAACTAAGGTTGATGCCAGAGTGCTGTGCATTTCTGTCATGGTACTTGGTGTAGGTGTATATACTCTGTTTGGTGTGAGTACCTCTCAAAGCCCTCCCCAACTCTCTGGCTCCATGCTTTAGGATCCTCTAGTATACTCAGGGTCAAATATTTACAGCCTTCATGAGTGCATCCCCCCCTTTTCTACCTCAGCACAACTTACAAAGACAGCTCAGAGGCATCTTCTTTTTTCTTTAAAATTTTAAAGATTTTTTTTTCCACCCCCTTTTCCCAAGCCTGGCTGTGCTAAGAACCTATATGCTGATGAACAGATCATTAACTGGTATCACTATCTAATTTAAACAGCTGTGTTAACGAGTATCTTTGGCTACAACTGAAGGAGGGGTCAGCCATCCTTCAGAATGCAGAAGTAACAGTATTAGGCTTCAGCACCATTTTCTTTGGTGAAGGAAGTTGGTTGGGAAGAGGGGTTTGGGTGGCCTCTCCTGGGGGGCATTCAGCCTGGACTCCTGGACTCCCATCAGCTCTTGGAAATAAGGAATCCAAAAGTTGCCGTATCTAATAAGACGTGGAACAGTGTGTGCAAACATGTCTATGGGCGTGTGCCCACCCATACCGTAACTGAATTTCCAAACTGGTTAAAATAGCCCTGCATGTTGGCCAACAAATACTGAGTCTCTTGTATATGGAACTTCGTGTCATACACTATGTTGGAGATAAAAATAAAGCAGTATCCCAGATTTTCAAGACCTTATAATCCAGTGCATTGAGTTTAGAGAGTGTTTTAAAAATGTGATGTTCCTGAATATCTTTTAAGGAAATTATAGTTACTGTAAGTTTCTGCCATTGTCACTGTGATTAAACACTTCTCGTTGTATGTAGCTACACAAGCCCCATTAACATGTCACCCACCACTTCCCCCCCTCATTCCTGAAGAGCTGTGTTCCAGGTAGTTGGTGCACAGAGTTATGAATTGATCTCCAAGGTGGGTAAAGCTAATAAATACGGTTTGGGTGAAAGGCACTGGTAAAAGCTTGAGATGTTATTACTGTTCTCATGCACTTTATTATTTTTTAAATTGTGCATCCTTTTAAGTAGATTATTTGTTCGCCATAGTCTCCATTATATCTAAGCAAAGCATTCACAGAAATTTCTAAAACCTTTTCATTTCTCTCTGTAGGTTGTTGTTTCGTAACATTTTATACAAGAAAAGCTGCACTTGAGGCCCAGAATGCACTGCACAATATTAAAACTTTACCTGGGGTGAGTCGGTTTACTTTTGTACCAAAATCACTTTATTGCTTGAAAATGGTCCTTTCAACTGAAGGTTCTAGTTATGGGCTCTTAGTGGCAAAAATGACTTTGGTCTTTTGAGGAGCGTGTGCTGACCCGTCTGTTCCCCTCAGCAGCCAAACCAGCTGGCCGGCCCATAAAGAGGGGCTGGCATTAATGCCGATGGAAAGAGCTCTCCAATAGTGTGTCCCCTGGTTAGAAAATCAGAGTGACCCCACTGGGTAGCAGCGGCTGCCAAAGAGTATTGGGTGGGCTAAGATTTTAAAAGGGGGGAAAAAAAATCCAACACACACAAGAAAAGCAGATGGAAAAGGAAAAGCTTTTACTCACCAGGAGCCCCTTTTGAAATTTAGTCTTAGATTTTCTTTTGAAAGGACAAAATGTACCCTGTACAGCCATTATATTAAACCTCCTAATGGTTTCTCAACAGTCAATGATGGTTAACAAAGTCAGTGTTTTAATGCCTAATTTGTGGCTTCATGTTGATAGTGAACAGAAAATACAAAGCTTACAATTTTTTTTCCATTTCATTCCTGGTAGTATTTGATGATTAGTACAATTCAGTAGAAGTGAACTGATGTTGTATGTAGCTACTGCATCAGAATACATTATTTCTGGGGTTTTGTGGCAATTTTATATATTGCATGCTGGTGTAAAGTGTCCTGTGCTGTTTGCGTATCTTCCCCATTGACCCAAATATCGGTGATGAGTTCATTTAATATCCTACTGATGTGCGTTGGTTCTAATGAAGAACTTGTGGTAAGCGGTGCAATAATAATTTCACTGAAACCTGGTTTGATCAGAGTATAAGAAAGATAATACAGTGTCCCTAATGTTTCCAGCTGCCATTTTGCTGTCTCTGTAGACATACACGGACACCTGTGTATACACATGCTAACATTTGCACACATAGGCATTTTATACCCCATCACCCCCAGAAAGGAGAGCATTTGTTTAAATCACCTTAGGTCCATTGAAAATTTCATAGTATTTTATAGTGGCAAGACACTCAAGAAAGAGTTTTCAAACCATTAGCTTCTTAGCCACCCAAAAGTAGTAAATTATGAACCATGGTCTTCAATCCCACCTCTGTGGCTCCTCCCTTTTCCTTAAAGCAGATCAAAGAGCAGAGGATTCAGAAAAGCAAGCATGTGGTAGCAGAATTCTCCCTCCCCATTTTGCTACTTCTCCCTGAAACTTTTAAGGTGGTTTTAGTAAGGCAGCTTTTAGTACATCTAAGTGCTTTTGCTCAGTGACTTTTTTTTTTAATATTATTTCAGCTTTGTTTTCCTTATAAATGGAATTTTTTTTTCAGTATAAATTCTAGAAGCCTGCAGTTTTAGATCACATTATCAAATGAAGCAACCAAGACAAATATTTACTGGCTCAGCCAACAATAGGAAAAAATGTTTTTTTTTTTAATTTCTCAGTCTCCTAATCAAACCCAAAGACCACTTTGTAGTCCTTCTTTTAAAAAGAAATACTTTATAATAATCACCACACAAAATCCCTTCTAGGTATATTGGAAAAAATTCCTGAGATGAATTTATTTAGCATTTAGGATATATTAATGCCGAATCACATTCTATTTTAAATTAATGCAAAGCTTGGGTAATTTGAATTCATCCACTCCACTAAAATTTGCACAACTCCCCAGTATGCCATCCTTAGTGGTGAAGACACTCTCAAGAAGCCCAGAGTTAATATGTGATGAGTGGGCCATGTTGAAAAACATACAAGGGGCTGGCAAGTCTCCTTCTTTTTGGGACATCTTACTCTGACCCTTTCCTAGCAAACAAGTAGCATCTTCAGTATTAAAAAAAAAAAAAAAAATGTTGCATATGTTCTGTTTGTCTCTTCTTAAAAATTCTGCATGTGGAAGTCAGCAATGGTGATTTTGGAGACCCATTAAGTGCAAGAATTCTGGAGTTGAAAAAGATGGCTTGGGGATTGTTTCTTGGTTTTCTTTTTCTCCGGTCCAACTTCGTCTGCCCCATTACCTGCCGCGGGTTAAAGGGAAATCGTGAGAAGTCAGGTCTGATTTGTAGGCTCCCAGCCTTCGCAGTGCACACACTCCTGGTACATTTGCTACTTCAAGTTAGGTAAGTGGGAACAGGGTTCCATATATTGCATTTACAGATAGTTCTGTCCGATAAACATCACCCTGAACAGCTATCGGGAAAACATGAAAGTTGGTCTCCTTTCAGCTGTGAGCTTTTGGTGGACAGAAAGAAATGGGACCAGACATAAAAGACTAATGCATATTTGGGGGGAAAAAATATTGCAGGGTGCCTTGCTGTTTGATTACAAGCCTTGGAATTAGTCAACATTTCCATAATTCTAAACCAATATACACCTGTTTTCCCACTGTGATGTGAAGGCACAACTTAATTTAACAGAACCCCTGCTGTGCTAAATCTCTCATTAACTACCAAGTGAGTTCGGTAATTTAAAGTTGTAGCACTACTATTTTAACTGGTTGCCTTCATATTATGAAATTAATAAGAAATTAATGATGCACTTTGCCATATGCCTTCAATTTCTTTCTGAATAAAAATAAAAGGGAAAAAGAAAAACACATCAGCAGCTGACACTTTAAAGCTTTTCTGTTTATCATTTTTCCTGCGGATAAAATCCATTAAAAAGGCACTTGCTGCTTTTTTTTTTTTTCTAAAGTGTCCAAAACTTTCAATTTAAAACAAGATCAAACAGTGCTGGGTTCCCCCCAACACACACACACCCGTTTAATTTTCTTTTGCAGCTGATGTTTTGTATCATAGAGAACTTTTATCGTGCTCCAAACTTGATTGATGTTTGGGGACCCATCTTTCGGTCTTGAGAGAAACAAAGAACTCAGTTAGTATGGCAGTCGAAAAAAGTGCTGATGGGATATCTTATTCAGGCACCCTTCCTTCATGCTACGTGTGGGTCATAGAGACCCTTTCCATAGTGGACGGGGGGATAGGGCGAAGGATCAATGCAGAGTCAAAGGGCACATTTTTCACGCCATGTGACTGAGGAGGACATTGGGTCTTTCATCCCCTCAAATGCTCACCAGAAATCCTGGAAATACACTATTGGTAACAAAGGGAGCCGATTCCACAGCTCAACACAGGGAGGAGCAAAGAATGAGCATCTGGGGGTCCTTTCCCTGGGTTGACCCCGCTGTCCTCTGGAAAGGGAGCCCTGACGCTTAAGCAGCAGATCACATCTCAGGCACAGTGCCTTACTTACTCCCGAAATCCCGTTAGGTTAACAAAACACTAATGAGTCTCGCGTGCCTACTGTGTGCCAGGCACTAAGCTAGAGCAGTTCATGCATGCGCCTGCCTGCCCTTCAGCTGCGTAGTGAGTGAGACTCCCATCACCCGGGAGAGAAGACCTCTGGTATGTCAGGCAGGACCACGTGACGAGCCCTAGGGCTGGCTGCAAACCTGACCTTTTCCGAAGCCGAGTCACTTGTGTTCCTGGACAGATTTTGGTTGCCTCTGCCTGTTGACAGTATAGCAAGCCAAGCTCAGAGGTGGCTTCTTTTGTTCAGGAAGGCACAGCCTACCTGGTAGAAGTAGTCAGTAGAAATGTCATCGTCCACCATTGTATCTCCCAGAGAGAAATCTCTGTGAAGGCAACCTGCGAGATTCATTTTGTTTTCACCGACTTGATTTAGCTTAATTAAAAAATAAAATAAAGACCTTAATAGAGGCACAGGAAAGCCCCCACGATCTTTTCGATAATCAGATGTCCAGGGCCACAGAGCCCCATGCCAGTGTCAGCACTGTGCCTTAGGTCATTCTTCTTTCAAGGTCTTCACACATACTGTCTCTAGCAATAAGGCTTTCTGATTGAAAATCTACAGCAGTATCATTAGAGCATTCACTGTATAAATTAATTTAATTAAGGATGTAATAACAGAGAGGAATACAGTTTTGAAAAAGCTCTTAAATTTTAAAAGCAAGGAGGAATCAGAATCTAAATGTCTGGTAAAATATTAATTGCAAATTTCTTCCAGACATTTTCTCGGCCTATGCCTTACTCCTTCCTTTCTTTTTAGAATCACGACGAGTTTTATTAAATGCAGTTTATATTAAGGAGTTACTGCCCTGAGAGAACATTTGTTTAGAGCACTCCATTTTAGTGGTGGCTTGCTGAAAGGTGTTTTATAATAACACATGCAATGTGAGCAAGGACTGCACGTAGATTGGAGATATAAAACAAATGAGCCTCATCCAGTAGGAAGAAGCTGTAAATAAAACTGCCTCTTGGGACAAGTGTGTTCACCCACATGAAGTGAATGAGCCCCTTCTTGGCTTGCCCTTGAAGAGATCATTTACCGACGCGGGTAGGCACTCTCTTTCCTCCCAGGTGGCTTTCCACACAACTCTCCATAGAATTGTACCCCTGTGTCCTTTAAGAGTGGAATGCTGGGGGTTTAATATTCTCTCAACAGAATAGCTAGGATCTCACTGGGACCAAATTCAATTTGCCCATTGAATGCGTTTTGAGGTGCTCATTTTCTTTGAACCACCTCTTCTAATTATTAATAAGTATTTAATGCCTTTGTTCTCAGAGCCTTGATGATTATTTTTATCATTCATCATTATTATTTCTGTCATAAAATCCCTCAAACCTCATCTCATCATATCATGGATATTCCCCGCTCTCCGCCCCGAAACCATCTCATTTAAATCTAAAGCCTAACTAGGCCGGGCTAGATAAAGTTTCTTCTCAGATGCCATTTACTTAAAACAGGTAGGAAGAAACGGCCAAAACATCTGCACGAGCAGAATTCAGGCCTCAAAATCGTGTATCATGTAGAACACACAGAACATTCATGCACTCGTTCGACAAGTCTTCATCGAATTTTTATTGTTTGCCCGGAACTGCTCCGGTAACTAGAGAATATAGTAGCAGCCACGCTATTTATAACTGAATCACCCCAAAACAAAGCAAGCCCACCATGCCTGTACATGC